AAAAAAAAAGGGATTTTAGTGACTATCTCAAAGAAATGGGAACAAAAGAGTAGGACTAGAGATCATGGTCAAAGAGAATCTAAACTTTTATTATGTAAACTATTTTATTTTAAATCTGCTGTCTTAAAGCAAATTCTGAATGTCAATAAAAACCTATTATAGGTTGTGGGAACATTGGAACACTGGTAACTATATTATTCATTAAATTTTACGCAAGTTTTAAAAATTCTGACCCTTGAATTTTATGACTATCAAAGTCTCTTGAAATTACCCTTAGATCAATTAAAACCAACAAAAGCATTATTAATCATTGTAATTAAATATACATGTTTTATTGGACTTCTTAATTGGAATTTTAACATGTAAAAATTCTTTTACTTAGAGTTTTAAGCTTTTATTTTAAATATTTTCCAGCTTGCAGATGAAATGGGGACACAGAAGAATATAGAGGTATTCAAAATTTCTGTTTTTCTAGATTGTATGTTCGAAGTATTACATGGGGCTAAAAGAATGGTTGTAATAATATAGATGTAACTATAAATATAGATAGAGGTGCCAGAAAAGAGAATTGAGAACAGGTATAGAATCTTTCTCTTTCTACCTATTTCATATTTATATGTAGTGTAGTTTTGATCATTTTTATACAGGCCAAAGTTAGTTCTGAATTGTGGAGTATTTATTTATTGATTTATTTTTTGCTTTTGAATCTGTTATATGAATATGAAAGGGCTCTTAATTTTTCAGAAGCAAAAATATGAAAATTTTTCTTAGGAGGAATATATTTTATTCTTAATAGATTAACATGAAACAAAATAATTATGTTAGAATGAGTTAAACGTATGTGTCTTATATAGTCATATGAAACTACTATACTAAGAAGAGTGAAATAATTACTATTCTATAATATTTCCCATTTTTCTAGGGTTGCAACTTCTCAGGATTCAAAGCAAATGAGCTTACTCAATTACCCAGACATTTGGATGCTAAACGAATTTATCTTTTTATTTTAAAAGCCCATGACTTTGATGTATGTAAATATTATTTTTATTGTATAATAAACTTTAAGAATATGATTTAATGAATCACACTTTTACTTAAAGCTACTATAAATTAGGTGTTAAGCAAGATACATTTACCAAAAGAGAATGTATTAGACACCATATTAGTGCCTCAGGAGTCTGAGGATGCTAGTGTTCACTGGATTGACATGTGACCATAACAGGTACTTTTTCCTGTTTCTGCTCCATCAGCTTAGGATAGTTTAGCCTGCTACTTTGACCTTGAAATAACTTAATAGAGCCATTCTCCATAGGCCTTTTGTATGTTCCTTTTTAAGCCTAAAAATATTCTGGGGCATTTTTTGTAGTATCCCTACAGAGTAACCAATGGAATGATGAAAATATACTGGTATAGAAAGGTAACTAGGTTGTCAACTAGTGATTATCAGGGATGGGTTGAGGTTGGGATGTTTACAGATAAAACTGATCATTTTTTCCACTGCATTTAAATTTTCTACTTTTTATGTCTCAATACATTACATGTATTATTTTTCATTAAAAAGTACTAGATATAAGTTAAAACTCTACTGGTTACGTCCATACTATACTTAGTGGCCTATTTAAAAGAAGTACTTCACAAAATACATGATAAATAATTTTCTTGCTACAAAAGTTTGTATGATGTCATTTTTGTTGACTTTTATTTGAGGAACATGAATTGATATTTGTGGATTTTATTAAAATAGATGTTGAATTCTACTGAATGTATTATTTATAACCTTTTGTGAAGAACAAAAATGATCTTTGAATCTACAATTTTAAACCAAAATTGGTAAATAGATTTAACCTTGTGAACCAATTTTGATGAATTGTCTACTTAAAGGGAACATATTGATGAAGACAGCTTATTGAAATAGATATTTTTGATTAATTGTTGGCACTTGTCTTCAGTGAAAAATAGGAAAAATTATGGCATTTTTGCTATTATTGATCTATCCTAAATCATCTTTTGCATAGTTACTAGCCAAATGTAGTTATTGAGCATATGAAATATAGATGATGTCACTGAGAACCTGAATTTTAATATATTTCTTTTAATAAATTTATTTACAAATCTGAAAAATAGCATATGACTCAATTATTTAATAATGCTCAATTGTGCAACAAAATTATAAATATGTATTTTATGAAGTCTACAGATTTAATATTTCTGATGAAAATAGTATTTAATTTGAAATATGCTATGAGTATAAATATATAATTCAAAGATCTAATACTAAAAATAATATAAAGTTATTTATTAATAATTATATATAAATTATTAATCATTAATCATTATATTAATCGTTATTATAATCAAATTATTAATCATTAATCATTGTATATGTTATATACAATGAGATATTATTTTAAATATATATTCAGTTTAATAAATAAAATGTGCAATTAAAATTAATTTTACCTTTTACTTTGTAAATAACTATTAGAAAGTTTAATATGTACATGGCTTATGTAAATATCTATTTGGCTGTGATAGTCTATGAACATTGAAAACACACTCTTTATAAGGCATATTTACACTAACATGTTTTTTTAATATATTTTAATTTGGTTTCTATGTATCTTTTTTCCCCATAGGAAAGAATATTTAAAATCTGGAAGAGTCATTTTCTCTCAGAATCTTCCATTGCTCTTTTGCATGACTCCTTTTGGTGGTGGTTTCTCCATAAATTTAAGGCAAATAAGATTTTTTAAGTTTTTTTAATAAGTTGATTTGTAGCATATAATTAATTTGTAGGTAGAGAGAACACTGGTAAAAATGTTTCTCTATCTTTTCATAGAGATTAGCTTTTGAACGAAATTATCATGTATGTATTATTTGTAGACTTTAAAAATCCTGTTTAAAGTCTCCTTTTTCAAAGGAGTAAGACTTTCATATGATTTCAAAGATCCTAAATCTTTTTTAATCAGAAAAAAATAGTGAAATAAAACACTGTGGTGAGCAATAAAATTGAGGATTTATTTAAAATTGTAATGTGCTGATAAACACTAAACAGAAAGTCCACTGTAAATCACTGATATTGAAGAAGTTTAGTTTGAAAATATAAGTATGCGGTTATAGAGAGTCTTTATTTGATTCAGAAGCATTAGAACTTTTGATTAGGATTAAAAGGATAAGGAGGGGATATTTGGGAAATAATAAGAATGGAAATAAGTGGCACATAGACAGTGTTTGACTAGAAGTAAGTATGTTCTAATATTCTTAATATTTTAAAAAATTGTCCATGGTACCTTGGTTCCCTCCAAAAGGTGCAAAAGAGTGAAAGTGTATCACTTCCACACAACTCCATACATTAACAAAAAGCCATATGACCTACAAAGTCACAATATTTTTTAACCTATTATACAAAGTAGATTCCAAAGCACTTAATATTACCAGGGATAGAGGGAATAAATACATAATGATAAAATGGTCAGTTCATCAATATGACATAAGAATACTAAATATTTATGCACCTAATAAAAAGTTCTTCAGAACACATTTAATAAAAACTTTTAACACTTCAAGGAGAAATAGACAAACTCATAAGTATAGTTCAAGATTTCATCATCTCACTCTCAGTAATTGGTAAAACATACAGAAAATCAGAAATTACGTAGAAGACTTGAGCAACACTGACAAACAACCTGACAATTATAAAACACTCTTCTAATCTTGCTCACTTTGTGTTGCTATAACAGAACACCACAGAATAGGTGATTTGTAATGACCAGAACTTTATTGGCTAACAGCTGTGGAGGTGGGAAAGTCCAAAATATAGGGGTCTAGGAGCCAGTATTTGACAAGGTTCTCTTTGCTATGTCATCCCATGGCAGAGAGCCATGAGGAGATATTATGGTTTGGATGTGAGGTGTCCCAGAAAAGCTCACATGTGAAAAAATACAAGAAGGTTCACAGAAGAAATGATTGGGTTGTGAGAGTCTTAACCCAATCAGTGAATTAATCCCTGGTAGGGATTAACTGAGTGGTAACTGAAATTCGAGGGTGTGACTGAAGGAGGTGGGAATTGGGACATGGGTTTAGGATATATATTTATATTTGGCAAGTGGAGACCTCTCTCTGCTTCCTGATCACCATATTAGCTGATTTCCTCGGCCAAACACGCTTCTGCCATCATGTCTTGCCTCACCTCAAGCCTTGAGGAATGGAGCCAGCCTTCTATGTACTAAAACCTCTGAAACTGTGAGCCCTTATATAAACGTTTCCTACTGTACAGTACACAGCAGCAAAAAATCTGAGCAAAACAGAAATTGGTACTGAGAAGCGGGGTCCTTGTTGTGACTAACCTGACCCTGTGGTTCAAAAGCTTTTTGATGTTTTTGGATTTGATGGGAGAAATTTTGAAATGTGTAGCAGTGTAAGCTGGAAAAGCTTTAGTTTGTTGCAACCGGAGATTAATGGTCGATTCTGGTGGGAGTGCAGAAGACCATAATGGTGATAGGACCATGGCCAATGAAGTCTGGGCTCAAGAGGGTTTAGAGGAAAAGGAGGAGACTATTGGTAATTGGAATAGAGTCCATTTGGGTTCTGTTCTGGCTGAGAAGTTGTCTGCATTTTGCCTATGTCCTGAGATTCTCTGTGAGGCCAATTTTAAAAGCAAAGGACTTCTTAATCTGGTGGAGGAAATTTCTAGGCAGCATAGCATTCACGTGGTGGCACAGATATTGCTGGCAACTTTTAGCCAAGTTTATTGTGATATTCAAGAGCAGAAAGAAAGCAGGAGGGGGGAGATTTGAAAAACTTAGACTTGAAAAGTGAAAGTAAAATTAAGGCTAAGGAAATTGCAGTTGTTAAAGACATTACTGCCACTAAAGAAATGTTAAAGACTTTGCACAGAGACAATAAGAAGATGGCTTAAGGGCATCTCAAGAGCTGGCAAGACCACACCCATCTCAGGCTCAAAGAAGTAAGGTGAAAATTCTTTTGAGAAGAGATCAGTGGGGCACCCTTCTTGCACAAAGGGACCTAGGAAGTTTTTTCAACGTACTCAGCTACCCTGACACTCCAAGGCTGCAGCAGCTATGGTCCCTGGAGGCTGGGCTATTGCTCAAGATGATGACAGACCTTGGTGTCAACCATGTGGTGTTGGTTCTGCAGGAATTCAGGATGCTGGAGTTAGGGGGTCTTGGAAGTTTCCAACAAAATTCCTGGAAAGGCAGGCAAGGTGCAGCAAGATTGGAGTCCCTGAGGGCATCCCTTGAGAAGACAGAGTATGGAGATGTGAGGAGGAAGCTAAGTAGCAATGGAGATCCCTGAGATTAAGAAATGCCAGTAACATGGGACATTGTCCTAGGAAAGCTGCAGGAATCAAACAGGGACAAGCCAACAGAAAGGCCACTTGGGCTGCAACAAACAAGACCACAGGGGCAGAGCTACACCAGCCCTTTGGAGAGGACATCATGCCATGTGCTCCAGATGGTGGACACAGACCTATGGGACCTGCTTGCCCAGCTGGATTTTGGTCTTGCTTTGGTCCTATCCCTTCTTTCTATGCTTCTCTTTTTGAGAATGGAAATGTTTGTTGTGTACCATTATATATTAGATACTTGTAGATTGCTTTTAATTTTATAGGAGCTCACAATGTAAGATTGCCTTGACCCTCAGGGAAAACTTTGGACTTGAACTTTGAGCAATCTCAGAACTGTTGAGACTATGGGGACTCTTGGGAGTGGACTAAATGTATCTTGCACTGACAGATGAATGTGAGCTTTTGGGGGCCAGGGGCAGAATGTTATGATTTGGATGTGAGATGTCCCCAAAAGCTCCCATGTGAGAAAATACGAGAAGGTTCAGAGGAGAAATTATTGGGTTGTGAGAGTCTTAATCTAATCAGCGAATTAATCTCCTGATAAGGATTGAGTGATAACTAAAGTGGTAAGGTATAGCTGGAAGAGATGGGAATTGGGGCATGGCTTTGGGATATATATTTATATCTGACAAGTGGAGACTTGCTTTCTGATAGCCATTTAACTGCTTCCCTCTGCTACAATGTCCTGCCTCATCTTGAGGCCCGAGGAATGGAATCAGCTGCCGGTGGACTTAGACCTCTGAAAGTGAGCCCCCAAATAAATAAACCTTTCCTTCTCTATAGTTGTGAAGGCTAAAACAGAAGGAGTTGAACCACTTCCATAATAGCATGTTCTCATGACACAAATGCCTGCTATTAGGTCCCACCTCCAATACCACAAAATCAGGAATCAGGTTTCTAACATATTTACTTGGGGAGACACATTAAAACCATAGTACCTATCAACAACAGAAGAATACACATTTTTCTTGAGTGCACATTAAATATTTACAAAGATATACAATTTTCTGAAATAGGAAAACATCCTAATAAATTTATAATAATTCAAACCATACAAAATGTTTTCATGCAAAATTGTATTATAAAATGAATAACAGTAAAGTATGTGGAAAAATCTCCAAATATTTGTAAATTAAAGAGCATACTTCTCAATAACCACAGGTCACACCAGGAATCAATATGAAAATCAGAAATTATTTTGAACAGATTAAAATTTGTAGAATATAGCTGAAGCTGTATTTAGGGAGAAACTACATTATAATGTATGTCTGTATTTGAAAAAAAAAAAAGGAGAACATTCTCAAAAACTGTGATCTCAGCTTCTTTTTTTATTTTTATTTTTTAGTTTTCAATGGACCTTTGTTTTATTTATTTATATGTGGTTCTAAGAACCAATCACACATGCTAGGCAAACAATCTGTCACTGAGCTACAACCCTAGCCCTCAGCTTCTATCTTAACAAGCTAAAAAAAGGAAGTATGAGTGAAACTTAAAGTAAGTGTAAGAAAAAAAATAATGATCATAGTGGAAGCCAACACAATTTAAGAAAAAGAAATTAAAGAAAAATCATCAATGTTTAAAAAAGAATGAACATAAAACTTCAGACTCTTCCAAAAAATTGAATCTCATCCTAAAAGTTAGGAAGCATGACCAAGGTAGCAAATTCAGACAAGATACTACAAGAAAAACAAACCAAAAATTACAGATCAATATTTCTTATGATGAGTATGGATGTAAAATTCATCAAAATATACTAGCAAACCAAATCCAGTAGCATATTAAAAGGATATACACCATGACCAATAGGATTTATTCCTGAAATGCAAGGATAATTTAACATATGTTAAATAACTTGATCTAATGGATACTTTGGTAACCCAAATGTCCAACAGCTGCAAGATACATTTTCTTATCAAGCATACAGGAAACATTTACAAAATAATGATTCTACCATTTTGCTATTTAGTTTCTTAAGATACACACACTAGGTTGAATTATATTAATCAAAAACATATCCTGGAAATTTCTGTCTTGTGCAAATTTCTTTTCTCCTCTTCACAGGTGTTAACTATAGATTATGTAGTTGAAACATGCTTTCTTGAGTAAATTATATTTGTATATATATATATATATATATATATATGTATATATGTATGTATATATCACTTCATTTAATTCTCAAATAACTGTATATGTCAGAACCATTGACATAAGTAATCAAGAATTGCTATTAGTGTTATTATTACTATGATAACAGCAAAGAAGTTAATAAACAAGTATGCAAATTATATTGGTAGTTAATAGACCTGGATTATAGTCCAATTCTTGAGTATTTAACTGGATAGCTTTATGTGTAGAAGCTAACTCACAATAAGGATGAAAATGAAGGGAAGAATAGAAATGCAGTAGATAAGACAATGAGGAATGGAGGGAAGGGATGGGCTATAGACAAAGGAAAGACAGTAGAATGAATCTGGCATCTGACATAATTTTTCTGGGTACATATATGAAAATAACACAGTGAATCCCACCTCCATGTACCTCCATAATAATGGGACTCCAACTAGAATAAGATATATTCTGTGCTTGTATAATTATATTATAAAGGATTCTGCTGTCATAGATGACTGAAAAGAACCAATAAATTTTTAAAAATAATAATTCCCCTTGATATTTCTGAGATCAGAGCAGTCACTGAAGTAGAAGGATTTAAGCTAGGTGATAAGTAATTTCATTTTAGGTCTAAGATCTATTAATAAATCTATCTATAAATCCCAGGTTATTTTGCTTGACGGTTTCATTACAAACTACCTTAAATTTGAAAATTTGGGGGGTTTTGTTACCAAAAATCATTAATTCCAGCTTGCACTTCTATAGCCTATGTCATAAATGAGTTGGAACTGTTTAATTCACCTTTATTGTGTAATGACTTTAGATGCTAATCCACCTCTTTGTTGCTTAGTAGTGCAAGAATCAGGGTGCTACATTGGCACTTTAATATTGACATTATTTTTATATATAGATGTGTTTCTTCTTAAAATATATTTCTTTTGTTTCCAATTTAGCTCTTTTATCATAATTGTATTAGTTCTGTCTCATTCCTTATTGCTTTAATTTCACTCTGTATTACTGATAATGAATGAATTAGAAATTTAGGGAACTGAAGTTAACTAAGCCATTGATTACCTTCTACATAATAAATACTGTGCAAGAACCTTCATTAACTCCTCATGTTTGTGTTTTCTGTGTACCAGGTATCACGTTTTTGAAAAACGTGATCTTTGTCCCTATTTAATTTTACTACACTTCTTTAATGCATTGTATATCTGTCCTACACCTGTCAGATAAGAAAACTGGGCCATAATTATCTCACCAAAGGTAATGCAACTAATAAATAACAGAGCCAGTATTCAAATTCAGGTTTGCATGATGCCAAAACCCATCCTCATTCCCTTATACCAATTGACTTCCCTTTAAGAATAGAAAAACTACTGATATTATACAAATATTCCCAATTGTATTTTCCCCTTATATTTTTGTGCATTATAATTATACATATTAGTAGGATTAATTGTAATATTGATTTTAATTTCATACATATTTTAATTTTCAGCCTAACAAAAAAAATCAAGATTGCTTATTTGATAGAATTTCAGAAAGTTATGTGACACTTTTCATTAGCATACCTTTAAGACGGAAAGATGCATTTTTTCAGGTAATGGTAGAAATGAACAGTTATGTTAATTATTTTTAGAGTGAATTAAATAGAAAAAATAGTTATTTTGTTTAAACATATACAAGAACACATTTTGTTACTTTGAAAGAAAAATTGTCTGATATACAGTAAGTAATGGCAATATTTTAAAAGTTATGCTCTTACTGTCACTCCCCACAAGAATATAGTATTCTCATGCCTCAAAGTCTTACAGAATATTTAGTATAATATTTTGTATGATATTAATAATTTGAAAAGTATTAACTTATCCTATATACATTCTTGGTTTTGTTCAATTTACCTACAAATTGATTTATTTTTTTCTTTATGATGAATCATTTGAATAGATTTCCTATATTATACTTAAGAACCAATCATTTGTTACAATAAAATACAATGCATAAAATTATGACTCAAATGCTTGTTTTGATTTTTTGCTGTTATACTATGAATAATATTAATTAAAATAATATTCTTGAGTAAAGTAAAATGAAGAATGTAGAAATGTTATTGGAAATGTTTATATTTAATAGCTAGCATTTCAAAACACAAGCCATATTCAAATACTTTGTTGCTTTGGCAATCTGTAAATCAGAAATACATAATTATTTTAGAATTTGTAAATGTTTTCATTGCTAATGTAGATTTAAAATACAAAGTGTCCTTTATAATGAAAATATATATAAACCTATATTCACAAAGTTTTCAAACATTTATGTTCATCCTTGACCTATCTTACTCACAAATGCATATGTAAAATGTGGTAGCGGACTTGGAATAAAGAAATTCAGCTTCATGTCTGTAATCTGATACAAATTACCTACATAATTTTCTCAACCTCTCAGGTTCATAAGTAGGTTTTTGGTTACATTAAATGTTAAATAATTGTCATGTGGAACAATATTGTTCTGAAAGATAAAGTAGGATTTCCTTTGCTAATATTGAAATTGTTTTTTCTTATTTTCAGGAAAAAAAAGTTAATGATTAAAACTTTGTTGTTAAATTAGCTGAAAATTTAAAAAATGTTTTTTTCTAACCATATTCTTTCACTAATATGTCCTTTTGTGGATTTTATATTAATGTGCATTTACTAAGTATACTAGCCTATCTACACTGCTTGATAAAATAAAGCAACTTCATCAAATGACTCTTTAATAAAGGATAAGGATGAAGTGGTCCCATTAGATATCCCCCATTCTCTAGTTCTTGGTCCTACTTTTGTGATCTAAATGTTCTCCCCCAAGATGTGTGTGTTATTTAATAGAAGATATAATTGTAACATCTCTCAAATCATGACTTGACTTTTTCTGGGTTCCTACTTTAAGTATCTTTTTCCAAAGGAAAATTAGAAGTTGTTTAATCAGGATTCAAAGCCATATTTGAGAACAAAATGTACATACCTTAGTAATTAGACTCATTGACCTATTCTTTCAATAAATCCTCTCCCTGCTTGCATGTTTGAGAACCAGGCCACCTTCCTGTAGGTTGCATATCCCAGCAGGAATATTTAAGTAGAGGTGGAGCTTCATCTCTTCTTGTCCATTTTCCATTATTTTACACTCATTCAACTAAGTGAGGGTTTCATTGCTCTTGGTTCATGTAATTTATCTTACAAAAGCCAGAGAAACTTATTAATGTTTAAGAATGAAAATATTTTCTTCAGTTCCCACTATTAAGTACATTAATATGAACCCAAATATATTTAGTGTGATGTTTACTTCCCTTTCTTCCAGTGTCTCACAACAATATTCCTTCATTCCTTATTCACCTTATTCAATATTTTTACTGTTTACATAATCTTATACACCACAGATATAATATGTGATCATTTCTGGTTGTAAAGATATTTATGGTTCATTCAATAAAATTAAATGCAATACATTACAGAGGGTTTTTTTTCTTTTTCTCATATATCCTCCCACCCCACAAAAAGATCTTGGAGGTCTTAAAAGATACACTATTTTGCTAGCAAATCTGAGTACTATTGGATTAGGTAACCATATTGTTTCTTATTGCTGCTTTAATAAGTTATTATGAACTTATTAAATGTAGTTGTTTAATACAACAGAAATTCATTTTCTTAGCTATAGAGACCAGAAGCCCACAGTGAATCTTACAGGGTGAAAATCAAGATGTTGGCAAGATTGTTTTCTCTAGAAGCCTCCAGGAAGAATCCATTCTTTGCCTCTTCTAGCTTCTGGTGGTGGCCCATAATCTTTTGTTTATGTTTATATCACTCTAGTCTTTGCCTATACTATTATCACATTACTTTCTTCTTTCTTATCTCATCAAATTTTGCTCAGCTTCACTTTTCTAATGACTTTTATGATTACATTTAAGAGCCCACAGGATAATCCAAGATAAATTTTCAAGATCTTTAATTATAACTATAAAATCCTTTTGTCTTATAAAGTAACCTCTACAAGTTCTAGAGATTAGAACGTATGTATCTTTTGCACCATTATTCAGTGTGCCTCGGGGACCTCTAAGGACCCTTCCATTTCTAAAATTTTACAGAATTAAGGGCTTACAAGTTGATTGTAAACACTTATCTAAATGAAAATACTAAAATAGTGATATAAATCTCTTTAATATAAAAACTTTAACTTTCTGGATGTAGTCATAACCTGAGAGAAATTTAATGGTTTGGAGATTTGGAAGCTAATGAATACTAATAGTTCTATATATTTGATGACATATGATCATGGTTTTAATATTTAAACAATACTGGAGCTGGGATTGTGGCTCAGTGGTAGAGTGCTTGCCTAGCATGTGTGAGGCACTGAGTTCAATTCTCAGCACTGCATATAATTAAACAAAGTCCATTGACAAAAAATTATTTTAAAAAATACTGATTATATTATGTGAACGCATTGAAATAAGCTCCAATTATTTAAACTTATACTTTTATAATGATAACCTATATACATCATTTTCTAAGTGTGGATAGCAATACTAAGGTTTATGGCTAATACCAAACTGTCTTAATTATTAATTTCTTTCTTTATTTATTATTTTGTAAAATGTTAACACTTAAATTAATGTAATTTTTCAACGTTTTTTTGGTTCATGCCCCTCAATTAGAGATACAAAGAAGTAATAAAATGGCTAAATACAAGCCATAAGAAAAAAAAATATATATCTCCCAAGCTAGTAATTTCTCTGATAGTTAAGATATGTTATATAAAACATGTTTGTATGTTATATAAAATTAACATAATATGACTCCATTTTGGTAGATATATCCTGATTGTCTGGCACAAGCTATATATGCAACATTCCGGGAAGCATTTCCAGAATCTAGTAACCTCTTTAATGATGAATTTAAAGAAGACCTAGGGAATAACATTTTTCTTTGGATGTCAGGTATGAAAATATTATTTAAGTATTGGTTATTATTTTGGTTCCTAAAATTTGGGGATTGCAGTGTTTTATTTACTTTTCTCAAAAAAAAAAAACCTGAGAGTTCTTTGTCTTAGAAGCATCCCATTTTGAAGCCTAGTTTTAAAAATTATTTTCTTCTGAAAATTTTATCAAAATTAACTACTTATTAACTTTAGAAGCCAAATATCTTTATAAATAGTGAAGTCATTATAAAAAATGGATTGCCACAGAAATAAAATAATTTAATGTGTATATAGAAGACAACTATTTTAAGCTGCTCTGAAGAATAGAAAATTTTTCTACAGATTTGTTATAGACTGAATTATGCTTCCTTCCAAATTTATACATTGAAATTCTGTAGTTTTAACCCACATTACACCTTGTAATGTGACTATATTTGAAAATATAAAGATTTGTTAAAGTGAGATCATATATGTGGGTCCTAGTCCAAAATTATGTGTGACCTTATGAGAACAGGGAGAGAAGAGTGATGTGAGCAAGATGACAGAATAGGAGATACCAGTCATCATTCTCCAACAACAAGAATAGCAACAAAACTATTTAGTTATCCAAGAACAAGAATAGTTCCAAGGAGGGATCAGGAGTCCAACTAAGAATCTGCAGCAGGGTACCCATTCTCATGTCAGAGAAAGTGGACTTTAAGCCAGAATTACTCAGAAGAAACAAAGAAGGTCACTTCACACTGGTCAAGGGAATCATCCAACAATAAGATGTAATGACTATAACTATTTATACCCCATACAATGGTGCATCTATGTACATAAAATAAACTATCTTTAATATTATGAATCAAATAGACCACAGATACAATAACACTGGGTGACTTCAACACACCTCTCTTTCCTTTAGATAGAGCACCTATACATATTAGGAGTAAAGGCTCTTCAGATAAATATATATATTAAAAAAATATATATATATATATATTGGGGATTGCAGTGTTTTATTTACTTTTCTCAAAAAAAATATATATCATTAACCAAATGGATCTAACAGACATAAATAGAATATTTCATCCATTCACAATGAATTCACCTTCTCAGCAGTGCATGGAACATTTTCTAAAATAGATCATATTTTAGGTCACAAAGCAAATCTCAGCAAATTAAAAAATAGAGATGATTCCTTGCATCCTATCATATCATAGTGGTGTGAAATTAGAAATCAATGCCAGTATAAAGGTCTGGAGTGGGGATGCTCAGTGAGTAGAGCACTTGCCCAGCATGCTCAAGGCTATGGTTTCAATCCCTAGCACCACCAAAAAGGAAAGGAAAGGAAGGAAGGAAAGAAGGAAGGGAGGGAGGGAGCAAAGGGAGGAAGGAAGGAAAGATGGAAGGAAGGAAGGCCAATATAAAAAACAAAACACTCTAACACCTGGATAATAAGTAAATTCACTTTTGAATGATGAATAGATTGCAGAAGAAATTAGAGGAGAAATAAAAAAATTTTACAAACAAATAAGAATACTGATACAACGTATCAAAATCTCTGGGACAGTATAAAGGCAATGCTAAGAGAAAAATTTATAGCACTGAGTTCATACATTAAAAATAGATACCAATTAAATAATCTAACATTATACCTCAAAGCCCTAGAAAAAGAAGAACAAACCAATATCATTTTAGAAGACAGGAAATAAGAGCTGAAATCAGTGAAATAGAGAATTTAAAATAATATAATGGATCAATAAAACAAATAGTTGGTCTTTTGAAAGGATAAACAAGATTGATAATCCTTAGCCAAATTAACCAAAATAAAGAGGGAGAAGAGTAAAATAAATAAAATTAGAGGTGAAAAAAGAAATATCACATACTCCACTGAAATCCAAAGACTCATCAGAAACTATTTTGAAAATTTATACTTTAATAAGCTAGAAAATCTTGAAGATAATAACAAATTCCTATAGACATGCTCGACCCAAATTGAACCATGAGGATATAGAAAACCTAAACATATCAATGTCAAGAAATGAAATTGAAACAGATATCAAAAGCATTCCAACAAAGAAAAGTCCAGGACTGAAAAGATTTTCAGACAAGTTCTATAGGACCTTTAAAGAACCAATACCAATCCTTTTCAAATTAGGTAATTAAATAGGAAAGGAGAAATCACTGCCAAATTCATTGTATGAAACCAGTATCACCCTAATACAAAAATCATATTTCCAATACCAAGACACATCAAAGAAAAAACTTCAGGCCAATATCCTTGATGTACCTCAATGCAAAACTTATTAATAAAATATTGTTAAACTGCATGTAAAAACACATTAAAAAGATAGTGCACCATGATAAAAGGAGTTTACTTTCAGGGATCCAAAGTTGATTCAACATATGAAAATCAATAAATGTAATTCACTGTATAAATAGACTTAAAAACAAGAATTACATGATTATCTCAATGAGTATAGGAAAAGCATTTAACAAAGTGCAACACCAATTCATGTTTAAAACACTATAGAAACTACGATAGATAGGATAGAAGGAAATTTTCTTAATGTTGTAAAGGCTATATATGACAAACCCAAAGTCAACATCATATTGAATGGAGAAAAATTGAAAGTATTTCCTCTAAGAATAGGAACAAGACAAGGATGCCCACTCTTACCACTCCTATTCAACATAATCTTCGAAACTCTAGCCAGAGCAGTCAGACAAGAGAAGGAAATTAAAGGGATACAAATAGGAAAAGAAGAGCTCAAATTATCTCTCTTTGCTGATGATATGATCCCATATTTATAAGATCAAAAAAATTTTACCAAAAGACCTCTACAACTGACAAACAAATTTAGTTAAACTTCAGGACACAAGATCAACATATATAAATCAATCATTTTCTTATACTTCAATAGGGAGCCTGCTGAAAGAGAAACTATGAAAACTATTCCATTCACAATAACTTCAAAAAAATAAAATACTTGGAAACTCATCTAACAAATGATGTCAAGGGCTTCTACAGTGAAAACTATAGAACACTGAAGAAATTGAAAAATATTTTGGTATATGGAAAGACCTCTTATGTTCTTAGATAGGCGGAATCAATATTATTAAAGTGGTCATACTACCAAAAACATTACACAGGCTCAATGCAATTCCCATAAAAATACCAAGGACATTCCTCACAGAACTAGGAAAAGCAATTCTAAAATTCATTTGGAAAAATAAGAGACCCAGAATAGCCAAAGCAATCCTGAGCAAAATGAGCAATGCTGAAGGCAACACAATTCCAGACTTCAAAATATACTACAGAGCTATAGTAACAAAAACGACTTGGTACTGGCACCAAAACAGATACAAAGCAATGGAATAGAATAGAAGACACAGAAATAAACCTAAATAAATACAATTATCTGATAGTAAACAGAGGTTCCAAAAACATTTGCTGGAGCAAAGGAAGTCTTTTCAGCAAATGGTGCTGGGAAAACTGGAAATCCATATGTAGAAGAATGAAAACTTGACTTCTGTCTCTCACCCTGAATAAAAGTAAACTCAGAGTTAATCAAAGACTTCAAAAACTGTGAAACTTCTAAAAGAAAATGTAGGCCCAATATTACAATATGTTGGCACAGGAACTGACTCCTTAACAATATTTCTAAATTGCAAGAAATAAAACAAAAAATCGATAAGTGGGATGGAATCAAATTAAAAAGCTGCACAATAAAGGAAATGAGAGTGAAGAGATAGCTTAGAGAATGGAAGATCTTCACCACCTGCTCCTCATATACAGCATTAATATCCAGAATATATAAAGAACTCAAAAAATTGAGAAAAATAAATATATGCATATGTATATATAATCCAATTAATAAATGGACAAAAGAACTAAACAGAAACTTCTCAAAAGAAGAAATGCAAATTGCTGACAGATATATGGGAAAATGTTCAGCATCTCTAGCAATTACAGAAATGCAAATCAAAGCTACATTGAAATTTTATCTCACTCCAGTCAGAATGGCAGTTTTCAAGAATACAAATCATAGTGAGTATTGGCAAGGATGTAGGGAAAAAGTTTCATTCATGCATTGTTGGTGGGACTGCTAATTAGTGCATACATTCCGAAAGTAGTATGGAGATTCCACAAAAAAATAGGAATGAAGCCACCATATGTCTCAGCTATCCCACTCCTAGGTATGTACCCCAAAGGATTTAAAATCAGCATACTATATGGATACAGCCACATCAATATCTATAGCACCATGATTTACAATAGCCAAACTACTGAATCAACCTAGGTGTCCTTCAAGAGAAGAATGGATATAGAAAATGTGGTATATGTACACAATGGAGAATTATTCAGCCATAAAAACAATGAAATTATGGCATTTGCTGGTAAATGTATGGAATTTGAGACCACTATGCTGAGTGAAATAAGCCAAACTCAAAGCCAAAGGTAAATGGTCAAGTGTTTTCACTGATATGTGGAAGCTAGTCCAAAATGGGGGGTGGCAAAAGGGAAAAGGGGGTAAATTCCACAAAACTAGGGGAAAAAAGATGAATGGACTAGTTGAAAGGAACTAAGAGGGCAGGAGAAGGGACAAGATAAGGAAAGAACAGCAGAATGAATCTGACCTAATTTCCTATGTTCATATGCGAATATATCATACTGTATCTCAACAACATAATGTGTATCCACAAGACATTAACTAAAAAGTAAAAATTTTAAAAATTGATTAGCACAAAGAGTAGAAGAAAGGGAACAAGGAAAGAGAGTAGGGAGAGAAAGGGGATATGCTGGGGACCAAATTAGAGCAAATTATATTCCATGCTTATATAATTGTGTCAAAATGAATCCTAATGTTATGTATAACTAAAAGGAACCAATTTTAAAAGCCTGCAGGGACACAGTAGAGGAAGAAATAGAATAAGCACCAGAAAATGTCACTGAGGAGATCAGCATATGTGAAATATCTATAAATGGCTAAGAACAAAGAAGGGTATGGGTTATCAGAATTCAGCATGTGG